AAGGTCAACAATATCGGTACAATTTCTCACCGTAATATCCATAATGACTAAATTCACATAAATCACCAAGTTCAATTAACTAAACCCACAGAATAAACCACTTACAAAAGAATCATAAAATAGAAAAAGAATAAACAAAATATTGCGTAAATAACCACAGATTTGTTCTTTAAACAGTTCAGAATTTTATAACCAAAACAAACCTAAAGAAGGTAATCTGTATTTATTTTATTGGTACACTGTAATGGCTAGTGTTAAAATATGTTTATTTTATAATAGAAATATAATTTCGATTAAATCGATTTATTATAAGAAAAATAATACCATTTATTATTGAATTTTGAAAAACGTGTGAAGTATAATTTATCTAAAATTCCGCAACAGTGTTGCCACCAGTGTTGTAATGTATCTAGTTACAAGTAACTAGATACAGTATCTAGATACTTTTTATGTATCTGTTTGTGTAACTAGTTACTTATCCCAATCTAGTAACTATAACTGTAACAAGTTACAAATTCTAAGTAACTAGGTGTGTTAAGATACAAAGATACATTTTTAATTAAACTGCGACTATTATTTATTGAGACAAGGAAAACACGTCAACTTCCACTTCTGACACAATTTTTAATTTCTGAACGCATCCAACAGTATGTCCATATAATATATGGTCATACTGATATTATTATTATTATTATTATTTTTTAACGAATTTACTTCCGTTGAGTAAAGAAATATACTAAACTGCTTATAAAAGGTTTTAAAAACCGTGGTAGATACAGTTTTCTGTAATCTGCACGTTTGACAGTTAAGGTTTGTTTAAAATTTAAATTAAAAGAATCTTGTTACAAAAATGATATATTTAAAAATAAGTACTTGTATTAAAAATTCCCTTTTATTTCTATTTTAAATTTTTAAAGCAAAAAATAATTTGTATGTATCTTAAAGTATCTAGATACTTTTTGAAGGTAACTGTATCTGTAACTAGTTACTGCAATAAAATATGTATCTTTATCTGTATCTAGCTACAAATTTTGGTAAGTAACTGTAACTGTAGCTAGATACTGAAAATATTGTAACTGTTACAACACTGGTTGCCACAACACCTGCTTATTTCCTTGGAGGTAGGCGTCCCTGCCTCGCGTATGCTAATACGAGAGAAGGAGACAACTATGATATCGCATTGTAATAGAACGAGACAACAAGGCTTACGCCAATCGTGAGTCTAAATTAGTTCAGGCATGCTTCTGAGCCAATCATCTAGCTATAAATATTAGTTTAAATTGCGGTCGTTTCAAATTCAAATAATTTAAATGTTGCTGGGTTTTCCACGTATAAAATCAATCAATTTTATTGACTATTTCACAATTTATGTAATCCAAATATTAAAAATTTATAGTATATTATTGAAAGTAAAATATTTAAATTATACTTAATTTTTTAATTCTTTATGATGAAGCACTGCCTCACCTGCCTCCCCTGACGGGCCGCCACTGGTGCTAAACTGAGACTTCACAGGTTGACTAACGTTTGCATTTTATTTAAGAATAATTATACTCTCTTCAAAAATAATTTTATTTTGGCAAAGATGAATTGCTTTTTGTTCATTAAAATGGTACTTGTCTCAAAATAATCTAATGCTATAATAAATATACAAGTATAATTTAGTGGTATTGCCATAGTTAATATATTTAATTGAAATTTTATTTGAGTTTTTAAATGAAAAATTATATGCATTTTAAAAGACAAAACATTTTTACTTAATTTAAGAACAATCCTTTATTTAATAAAATATATTTTTTATTCCTTGCTTAAATAAAAAATACTTAAAATGAATATTGAAAGAGTTAAAAATTAACATTAAGCAAATACTTTAATGAATAATAAAGTATTGTTTTACTAAGTAAATTATTAACACCCTGTATAGTATGTCTGGTGTTAATTTTTGGTCAATTTTCCATACAAATCAGTGCTTTTAATCCATATTAAAAAAGGGTTATTAATATAGTTAAATTACTTATTAATGCTCAATATAACACACTAATATGTTAGTCCTGCAAAACTTTGGCCATTAAACTATACCTAATAGGATTATGCCGCAGGATAATATCCTGCAAAAACACCTCGATTAACATTGCGGTATAAACACATTTATGTATGTGCGATAAATACTTATTTATGTAGAGTTGAGCGAAGCACAAAAAGACACTTTTCAGCCCAATGTTTTATCTTTAAGGCACAATTTTATTCTTAGATAGTTATAACTATAGATAGTCCACACGGGTTTTAACAGACTAGGAGATAAAAAAACTTTTCCCGGTTGGTCTAAACATCTTAACACATTTATGTCCTTATAAGAGCTTATTTTAGATTAATATACAAATAATATGGTTTTGTAAACTTTTTTCCAAATATTTGTTGTGTTTTTATCAATTACCACAAATTGTGTGTTGTTTTTCTTAATGGCAAGCAAACACACATGAACGTTTGTAAGATCTTATACATAGGTATTTTTCCTGCTTTTTTTTGTTTTTATTTGTTTTGCTGTTATCGACATCCTTTCAGCCATTTGCAGCAGATAGACAGCGGCGTCACTGTAATAAAAACTTTATCTAAAAATATTTCTAGAATTTAAGAGTTATAACTGAAAAGCATAATATGCATAAAAATGTTAAAATAAATAAAATTAGTTCATATAAAAATGAAATAAAATATTTAAAAAATCATCTTGAGTAAAAAAAATGGTAGGTACCTACTAAATTTTTTTTTTAAACTAAAAACTATAAAATGATTTATAATACAGATCCGCAGAAACCAGACACAGTTTTTTTACTAAAAAATAAAAAGAATAATAGTCACCTTAATTAAAATTATATTAAAAATGTAAAATATGAAAAATCTTAAAATTGTGGACAATAAAAAATTATATATTTTGCATTTAACTTTAATTTTATTTCAATATTTTTTTTATATTTTAATTTTTCTTAAATACGGTATCTTAAGGCTCGTTTAGACGTATCCAGTAGTTTAGTCGAGTGGCGTGCGAACAGTAAAGCCTATTTTATAGATTACCTTCCTTCCTTTCTTCCTTCCTTCCTCCCGTAAAAGATGAACAATACGAAATCCATAGTTCCGTTTATAGATTCCCGTACGGAAATCTATAAACGGCACTACGATTTTCGTATTGTTCATCTTTTACGGGAGGAAGGAAGGAACGAAGGCAATCTATAAATCAGGCTTAAAATTTAGTAAAATAATTTACAGGTTTGTTCTATTTTTCTGGTCGAGTAACGTGTCCCCAACATTAACCACAGACACGATCGGACATACGAGGTGTGTTCAGAAAATATCGGGAATTTTCGTTTTTTGAAACAAATATTTATTTATTCCTCTACATTAATGTTGTCGCCTTCAAAAGAGTCCCCATTATGCACATGTGCCAGCTCTTCTTCCAATACTCGAAACACTTCGAAAACTCGATCTTTGGGATAGCCTTTAGTTCTTTCAGCCATGCGCTTTTAATGTCATCTATGCTTGCAAAACGACGGCCCTTTAAGGTTCTCTTTATTTTTGGGAATAGGAAAAAGTCAGACATAGGAATGTCTGGCGAATATGGAGGCTGGGGAATCATTACAGTATTGTTTTTGGCCAAATTTTTTTTTCAAAATTTAACAATTTTAGAACAAATTTTGCTGCCACGCGTTTCATACCCAAAACATTCGAAAAAATTTCATGGGATGAGCCAATCGATATACCAACATCATCAGCGACTTCTCTGATGGTTTATAACCATTTCTTCCACTTTTTCCATGTTTTTATCGGTTGTTAATGTGCTTGTGCGTTCGGAGCGTTCGTCATCTTCAACGTCTTCACGGCCATCTTGGAAACTCTTATACCACTTGTAAACTCTTGTTTTACTTATAGTAAACTCACTATAGACCTTTGTTAACATTTCACAGAATTTATTTAATTTTTTAAGCAAATTTGGATACAAATTCTTCGATCCATTTCTTTTAACGAACGAAAAATCGCCTAGCTCATAAAACACGTCTAACCTTAGCGGCTGCCACTGACAAAGTAAACAATGAAAACAGCTAAAGTTTTTATCATACTTCGGGGGCATGTATACCAACATATTAAAGAAAATTTTATGACAACCGGACCCTCTGAACCCGCGAAATTTAACAATTCCCGTTATTTTCTGAACACACCTCGTACGTTAGTATTTAGAACTTGAATTTTTGTGGAACGTGAGAAACGTTTTTTATAAGAACTGCAGTCAAGACAATCTGCTGATTATTGCTGAGAATTTGTGTGCCATGTTAATCCTATAAAACAGCTGACACCTCAAAAAACAACAACTCAACTGAACCTACAGTTTCATATACTAAACTTAATTACTATAGTAATTAGTATATATACTCGGCACTCGACTAAACTACTGTATACGTCTTCACGAGCCTTACAGACCTGCTATGTATAATATATTTAAACAATAAAAACATTTAAAATGATGTAATACTTTGCAAAGATTATTATTTTTGCTGAATTGAATCCGCTCCCGGAATCAAACTTAAACTTTAAAAAGGTTAACATCGAATTTTATGATTGCTTTCCTTTGAAATAACATGTACCTATAATATACATTGTATACACAGTTTGGTAGGAAACATTTAAAGCAAATATTGTAAACACAGTACAAATAACATTTCCTTTTACAATGTCGAATGATATGAATTCAATTTGTATTGTCTTGTTTCTTGAGGGCAATTTGGTTTTATCGGTTTTAATTTTATATTTCTGTATACAGATCAGGAAATTTTTATGGGATTACTTATAAACCTGGGCAAAAATAGCTTTTTTAAATTTTAACTATGACAAAAATAAGTGCAAAAAGTCAAAAGTTCTAGTTGAAATAATAACGATGATAAATAAACTTCATACTATGAAGTGTCAAAGGTCAGATGTTTGTCGGCTTAACCATTATAATATTTTCTTTCAGCATGCTCCAAAGAGCCGAAGAAACAGGCTACATTAACATAAACTGCGTAGATCCCTTAGGGAGAAGTGCCCTTCTTATGGCGATAGATAACGAAAATCTGGAAATGGTGGAACTTCTTATCGAACACAAAGTCGAAACTAAAGACGCCTTACTTCACGCGATATCCGAAGAATTTGTCGAAGCTGTCGAAGTTCTTTTGGAACACGAAGAAACCATACACAAACTGGGAGAGCCACACGTAAGTAGATCTTAGGATCTTAGGCCTTAAGCGCATCTAGAATCGTTACGGAATGCATCTTTTACCACTTACGTCTTAAATCAAGCACTGTGATTGGTTGACGTAAGACGTAAGCAGTAAAAGATACATTCTACGACAATAGACATTTAAACAACATATTTGCCAAAATATTTTTCATATAGATATTTCATTGTGGACATGGGACACAAAAGGCAATTTCTTGCTTAGGCAAAAAATTACGGTGATAAATCTTTCGCGTTAAATGGGTCGTAAGTAATAAATTATTACCCTAGATAGTGTAAGGCTTGAGCCATTGAGAGAGAATATAGCCAATTATTTTTCACGTTTGCTACTGTCCAAAATAACTGGATTGTAACGTTTATACGTATATCAATCAAAAGGAGGATTTGCGGATGAGAGGGCCTGTTTCCTGCTAGATTTATGGTTCCTTTGGTCGAAGGATGATCGAGATTTAATATTGAATTTGCATTTAACAGACGGTTAACAAGCTTATATGCTAAGTGTGGAAAAGTAGTTGAATTCAAAGAATTTAATTTTCTCAAAAAGTCAACTTAACTATAACTATACTCCGTGATATTTCAGGATTTCTGATTTTTCTTTTTTTTTGGGGAAAATCAGTCACAATTTAATTTAAATGAAAATATTAAGAAATGGCTGCTATTTTTAATTTTAATACAAAAAAAATGTTTAAATTGCAAAAACTTCCGTTAAAACGTTTATAAACATGAACTTCCCCACAATCCACATTCTTACAGAGGCCCTTGTAAGCCTTAACGTGCTAGGGGCAACAATTTTACTCTTCTTTTGTAAAAATTAAACCTTATTCTATCAGGGCTGTCATCAAACTGTCAAACGTGTGCGGTGGGTTGCCTAACTTCGCAATAGTAAGGAGATATAAAAACCTTGTTGTGTGGATTGTGAACTTCCCCATTATAAACTACTTCCACATTTTACCGAACGCCGATATTTGGGGTAAAATAAGAAACTCTAAAACTTTCCTAAAATTCCATCCGAAAACTCGCTGTAAAACAAATTAAATCAGCATAAATGCATCCCATCTAAACTTCTAATTGGCTAAACTCCATCCGCTCTACGTCTATAGTTCCACCGCTTCACTGTTAAAACTGATTTGCGTTTTTGCTTTTCACGCTCCTTCTTGATTCCGGCATTCTCCTCGCTGCTGCAAAACGAATCCTCGGACGAAAAAAGAGCTGGGAGGCTCTGCCGCCGGACACGGCCACCTTCACCCCGGACATAACGCCGCTGATCCTGTCGGCGCATCGGGACAATTACGAGATAATCAAGATACTGCTGGATAGGGGCGCCACCTTGCCCATGCCTCACGACGTCAGGTGAGTCGGGAGAAAGGGGTGGTTTTTTTGCGGATGATGCATAAATTCGCATCGCGGAACTTCCGCATTAATACTGTCGTCGGCATACTGTCGGCCTTAAAATATTTGCATCCACTTCCGCATCCGCATCCGCTTCCGCATCAACTTCCGCATCAACTTCCGCATCCACTTCCGTATCAACTTCCGTATCCACTTCCGCATCAACTTCCGTATCCACTTCCGCATCAACTTCCGCATTCGCTTCCACTTCCGCATTCACACTCGATATATCTTAAAATTCTTCTATTTAGACAAATTTTCGATGGATTTCAATCGCAAATAACTTTTTTATTTGATTTCTGATTTAAACAAATATTAAAGAATATTGTAGATACATTAATGGAGAATCGCTCACATTTTAAAAATTACTAAAAAATAGACGTACCTACGTTTATAATATACAGGTTTAAACAAAAAGATGTTATTTACCATAAGTTTAAGACACTCTGTAGAGTATATTGTTCTAAATTAAATTTTAATTATCAAGTCACATATATTTTTAACAGTTTTGTTTTTGGTTTACCTTGATATATTTATATTTGTGGAAAATATGGATTTAAAAAAAACATTGCAATTTACAATATTTTTCCTGTATAAAGAACTAAGGTTGCTATGGTCCATCCATAGCCTATGGAGGATGACAGTGACAGTTTTGTTAAATCATTCCATACTTGGACATCATATACAGCTTTCAAAAGCAATCAAATTGTTTTTTGTAAATTAATATGTTAATTTTGAGGTGTCCTCTTACTTTTAAAAATGTCTCCGACTGATGTTGCCCTTTGTACTTTACTTCTTGTGACGTTTAAAACACTTGCCATGTAATACTGTGATCGTCCATCCTGGATTAAATTAATGGAACTGGCAACATCAGTCGGATATTTTTTAAAGTAAGAAGACACCTCAAAATTTAAACATTAATTTGAAAAAAACAATTTGATAGCTTTTGAAAGCCGTGTATGACATGTCCAATTATGGGATGATTCAACAAAACTGTCACTGTCATCCTTCATAGCCTATAGATGGACCATAGCAACCTTAGTTCTTCATACAGAAAAAATATTGGAAATTGCAATATTTTTTAAAAAAATCCATATTTTCCACAAAAATAAATATATCTAGGTGAACCAAAAACAAAACTGTTAAGAATAGATGTGACTTGATAAATAACTTAATTTAGAACAATATACGGTTTTGCCACTCTACAGAGTGTCTTAAACTTATGGTTAAAAACATCTTTTTGTTTAAACCTGTATATTATAAACGTACATCTATTTTTTATTATTTTAATGTGAGCGATTTTACATTAATTTATCAACAATATTCTTTAATATTCGTTTAAATCCGACATCAAATAAAAAAGTTATTTGCGATTGAAATTCATCGAAAATTTGTGTGGATCGATTATTTTGGCTGTGAGTGTATTTTAGACCTTAAATTAAATTAAACAGAAGTGGGTTAAAAATGTTTTTTATATTTTTATGCATGGATTTAATAATAATATATATAAATATATGTAATTTACCATCATTTTTATCAGCGTAAGAAATTGCCGATGCCAATTTTCTCTTTGATTTTAAAATTAAATTTACAGAACAGGAGATATCAATTCGAAGTGTGTCAAGTACATTTTCTGCGGATGGTAAAAAAGGATTTTTTCTTCGATTATTTCTCTCCTTTTTCGGGGGAGTGTTTTAGGGTTAAAGTATACTTTTGTCGAAGGTGAATTTATAAAGCTGATAGTTTCTTATAAGATGGCTGAGGATAAAGATAAGGATTTTGTAGTCCTTTTGTGCGGATTTCTTGTAGCAATTGCACTTTAAGATGCGACGGGGTTTTATGATGATAAGTTTTAAAATGGGAAAAACCTCCCGAGTGCGACTATTAAAGATATTTTATAGTTTTTATTTTGACTTAAAAACAAAATTACAAATGGTAATTATTCCCTTCGTTGAGATAATTATACAGGGTGATCTGGTTTATATTATACACATTTTGGAACGGCCAAAAACACAATTTAGGTTTTTTACAATGGAGAAAATCTTAATTATAGAACAAACATTAAAACTATGTTTCATTTATAAAATTTAAAAAATTTGAGATATTATTTTAGATTTTAAAACATGCAGAACTTTTTATAAAGATTATTTCCCTCAATATAATATGAACCAATCAAAAAATTTTGTTTACGATTATATGGTGTTATTTACAAGTTTTAACAAAAAATTTTTAAAAAACAATAAAAAATAAGTTATCTAGTTTTCGAAATATCAATTATTACTTATTACATACCTTAAATTAATGGAATTTTCTTTAAAAAAATATTTATAAATTTTGACACATAAGTCAGATTTTATGAATTGTCAAATACTTTCCTTTAATTCGAGAAATAATCTCATCACTCAACCTATAAATTTAATGTCAAACTATGCTCAGTAAGTTTTTTATTTGATTTTTCTTTTTGGAAAATAGTTTCATGCAAAATAATTAAAAATAAAACCCCTCGACCGCTACGCGGTCTCGTGATTTTTTTAAATTATTTTGCATTCAACATTTTCCAACAAAAACCAAACAAAAAACTACTGAGCCTAGTTTAACCGATTAAATTCATAGTTCTCGTGATATAATATATATATTCATATATGAATAACTTTTTTTCGTAAAATTAATAGGTAACACAAGTTTACAAAATCGAAAAATAAAATTCTGCCCACCATATCCCATTATAATTTTCCCATGTATTTTGACCCATGGGTCACTAAACACAAAAAACACACTAAATTTTTATTTTTGGAAGCGTTTTTGAAATGTAAATTTTCAATTATTTTTTTTTTTCAATTTTTGGAGGTGTTTTGACGTTTTTGAGTATAGCTTGAAATATAGTTAATCGATTTGGTCAAACAAGCCCTCTAAAACTTTCTTTTACATACTTTTGTTATCGGATAAGTATTTTGACACTATCGATTTATATAACTTAAAAAATTCGTTTTTATGGCAAAAATTGAGGTCGAAAATTTACATATTGTTCTGAGAAGGGTTTAAATCAAACAGATAACTCCAGTTTGAATTTTTTTTCGTGAAGCTGACATTTTCACAAAATAAACAAGCTAATGTTAATAAAAATACATGAAAAAATAGCGAAGTTATGAATTTTTTAGTGGAAGATGAAAATTCAGCTTTTTGACGATTTTTATTTTATTTTGTTCTTTTATTTTGTAATATGTTTATTCTTTAATGAAAATCTAAGTAAAGTTCATATTGGAATTTTTGAGATGTTTACGTACGTAGGTACTTTTTTCACCGAAATAATTATTCAAAAGTTTGGCATAGTGACATTTTACTGCTATTTTTTCATATTTCAACAAGGTATTTTTATCATGGTTTTATTTAGTTGATAAAAAGTGTGAAATGAGTAAAAGAAGTAGGGAGTTCGAGTGCGTAAATAACCCGGACAATCTGGGCGACGTAATGAGCATGGAGCGGCGGAATCACGGCTTCTGGGATGCAGTCATGATTGGTGATTAAATTTGGTCCCTCATACGAGAAACGAAATACGAAAGCAACAATAACAAAGAAGGAGCCAGAATTTTTTTAAACCTATGCTTATACCAACAAAATAAAACTTATCTATTATTAATATCTTCAATGTTCAATATTTATTGTTCTATATTCAATATATAATTTATTTTCACATAACTTTAAAGAGAAAAGATATATCTAACCTAAAAATTGATATAACGAGGTGTATTACATACAACATGTTATTTTATTAATAATTTAGCTTGATTGTTTTAGTTATTTATTTTTCTCTAATCACCCGACTGTAGAAAAAACGTAATTACATAAAATTGTACTGATAAACAATTGAAAATCATCATTTATAAAAAGTTTGGTACGAAAATCCTGAAAATGTCATAAAATGTCAATGTAAACGCTTTATATCTCAACAAATATCAATCTTAGCGATTCAACTGATAAGACCTTTCTACAAGTTTGTCCTTTCCATTTTTTCAAGGAATCCAGTCACTTTTGAAATATCTTCAAAAATATGAGAATTTTTCACTAAAATAAGATTTAGTGACCCGTACCATCCTACAGGTGCAGATTACAGCTATGGCACATAAATCTTTTTTTGAAACAATCCAATAGCATAAAATGCGGCTGAGATATAGATATTTAAAAAAAAATCAAATTTTACGTGCATTTTAAATGGGAAATCTTTATAGGCTTTGGTAGAGTACTTTGAGTTAATATTAAGGACTCAAATTTTCAGGGAATTTTCAACAAGATTTTTACCACCCTAATATATATATATACAAATATACATATTTTCTTTACATTAGAAAAAAAAGGTAATTAATAAAAAATATAGAAATAAATTTGAATAAAATTTGAAAATAAACATATAAATGCCGGAATACCAAAAATAGGATGTTAGGATGATGTTTTTATTATTCTTTACATTTTACAAATAAAAGTGAGTGAATTTTATTTATACTTTATTGCAATAAATCATTCCTAATGATTTTCTCCAGCGTTAAGAGGCCCTCTTGAAAAGTGCGAACGAAAAAATGTTCGCGTACCGTTATTAATGATCTAAAATCTCAAACAAAAACGTGCAATTAATATCCCCGAAAGAAACTTCCAAATAATCAATTTTCTTAAACAAAACAGCCCTCTAAAACTTTTTTTCACCCTCATAGCTTTTGCTTTTGCTATTTCTATATTTAAATTTATCTGGCGTATTTCAGTTTTACGTTACTGTAATCCTATAAATATTTAAATTGTTTCAACAAGTTTTGCTCTCAGACATTTTCTTTTTTGAATGGAATTTATGTTTTTACTTAAAGCTAATAAATGGAAAGAAAATATAAATTTTTACTAAGCAGTTTCAAATCAATAATGTTATGACCTTTTTTAAATTATAACTAAATATAATGTTTTATCTACTTTGCGTTCATAATGACTTCATTGTAACACCGCTTTCGCTGCTGTAATGAGGTACTTTACCCCACCCAAAATTTTGATTTTATAGGTTGGCTACTTTAAACAGCATACTAGTAAAATAATATTTTCCCTATTGATTATAATATTTTTATGATTTTTCTAGTACTTATGAGACTTTTCTGACAATAAATTTTGTTTAACACCAAAGAAAATCCCTTTTTAGCTATTTAACATTAACAGCCGCTTATTGTAAATAAATAAATTAAGGTCGCCATGGCGAATATATGACTGTGACACCAATTATGTAAAGTAAAATTCGACCAAATTAAATACAAGGTACAGTTCATTTTTTTTATTTGGACTCGTGTTTTTTTGTTGGGTTGGTGGCTTATGCCAGTTTGACTTAGTATTTTTATTATTTAAAAATAGTACTTCTGCTAAAGAATTTAATTAAATACTATGACACTGTCAAATTGACAATAATATTTATTATTGATAATTTACTTGTCAATTATAAATAAAAATATAATTATGCCAAAAATAATAGCAATGAATTCGAATGTAAAAGCCTTTTTGACGGCAAAACTTCATTTTGATGAAATTATGCCAAATGCCACAATGGAAGAAAAAGTACATCGCCTTATGGATTTTTGGAGTAAAAAAGAAACGAATTATTTTATTATTATTATTACCATTATTTTCACATTATTCACCATTGGACAACATTTACGTTTACAAAAATTTTTAATTTCTTTTATATAAATACTTTTCAAAGCGAAGATTATTATCCGCTAGGAATACTTTCTCTTCTGGGCCGTAAAGCAACCTATATTTAACTACTTTTTTTATATGATTTTACTCATCCAAGCACCACCAAAGCCAAATTAATTGCATTTTTAACTACGAATTTCGACAACTCAACTTGACAACTGCACAATGTGAACTACAATAATTTATACATAACCACAATTAGATTTATAACTAGCTTAGTTTGTTTTAATCAAAGCGACCAACTTGACAACTGTATTTACCAACCAAAACCCTAAATTTGCAACGTTGCCGCAGTCCAGATATAAAAATGAACTTTATAAAACAATTTTTTATAGAATTTTTAATTTTTAATACACTGTTATCTACGACGAACACAACGAAGAATTTAAAGTCAATTTTATTTACGAATATAACCTCACTTATTCCCAATTACATAAAACGCCATAAAGCTTAATATACCCAATCAACACATTATTGTAATGATATGAATTAATAACTAAATTAAAAAGAAAACAGCATTTCAATCTACCTACAAACTATTTTTCGTCAGATGCGGGTGCGACGAATGCGTAACATCCCGGTTTGAAGACTCCCTCAGGCATTCCAGGAGCAGGATAAACGCCTACAGAGCCCTGGCGTCTCCCTCTTTGATAGCGTTATCCTCGAAGGATCCAATCCTTACCGCTTTTGAATTATCCTGGGAGCTGCGAAGGTAAGTAATACCTACATTTTTAAATTTGAGATTGAGAGAAGTCACCTTATATTTAAAAAAATGTTGGGATATAAAACCGTATCAGTCATTTTTTTACACAATTTCAAAAAGTTTAAGAAGTTACACTGAGAAAAAGAATCAAACGAAAATTGCTTAACTTAACATGTTTATGGGTGATTCGACAAAAGTCAATAGTCAATAGTATTGACTCAATACTATTGACTATTGACTCAATAGTGTAGGTATTTTAATATTTTTTGTAAATATTTAGTATATTACAAAAGATCCAGGTTTTGTTTACTTGTCCACCCAATTTTAATTTAATTTTTTAAAAGAAAAACATAATAAATATTCAAAACATCAGTACCTTGGCGTGTCACAACTCCTGAATCAAATATTTGAGTGATTTTATTTTAAAATATATTCAATTTATCTAAAAATTTTCAATTTCACTACAAACTATAAAACCTTAAATAGTGTATTTTTCATATTTTTGATAATCATTGTACTCACTTTTACCCGTCAGTTCTGTGTCCAATGTTAAAATTCAAAATTCCTGTGAAATATTGAAGTTTAAACGTCAAGTTCTCGTTTTAACTCAAGTGTTGGAAAAAAAATTATCTACCGCCCTTTGCACGACATGTCATGCAGTCATCTTGAAAACAATGCAAGCGGCGAAGTTGTATAGTTCCAGTCAAAATTCCAGTACTGTGGTGAGTAGTTATTTTCTTACGTATATATATTTCATTGTAATTTATATAAGGCTATATGTGATTTGTTGATAAGTAGCATCCACTAATAAAAAATATCAGTAAAATACTTAATTCCTAATTATAATATCAAATTTGTATCCCATTCATCAGTACCGTGTCGTCAGTTCCATGTTCGATGTTTCGGTTATCTTGTTTATTTAATGTCATTATAAACTCATATAAATTTGGTGTGGGTCCATTTCTAATAATTGAGATATCGATTTACCCAAAATCCTCCAGCCGCCACTGATGTGTGGTATTATTTGATTTTATGTAAAATGTATAATATGCTCAAAGTTGCAATAAATCTTATATTTTCCAATAAATTATGTATTTAATTAGTACCCTGGTATACTCGTCACTTCCCTTGCATTTAAATTTAGATATTTCAGAAACTGTTTGAAAAAGTGACTGGCCCGGCCTGGAACAGTATATTTATTATATTATCTATGTTCTCATAACAAAATATTGTTTAATTTTCTCAGAAAACTATATAAACAAAATGAGGTCAAAAGTTGCCCAACTTTTGTAGAATCACCCATATACAACATCTTTTGACTTAACCAAAAATGGTTAAAAACCTTTTAAATCTTCAATCAAGCATTCATTAAACATAAAAGTGTTTAATTTTATGCAAATATTTCTTAACCAGAAAAACTTAACGTTGACTCAATGCGTTATTTTTCTCAGTGTACAAAAAGGTCCTATTTATAAATTAGAACCGACAGTGTAATTTTCTTTCTTAAGAAACTATCAGAATTATCAGAAATGTATTTTAAAATCAAATCACAACATTCGCATCAAACATTTTTTCAGGCTAAGTTTTATGGAACACGAATTCAAGAGCGAGTATCAGGAACTGAGAAAGCAGTGTCAGGACTTCGCCACTGCCCTCCTAGATCACACCAGGAGCTCCTACGAATTGGAGGTCCTTTTGAATCACGACCCTACAGGACCTGCCTTCGAACACGGGGACAGGATGCACCTAAATCGTCTTAAACTGGCCATTAAGCTTCGACAGAAAAAGGTAGGATTTTCGGTTTATTATTTTTATGCGCGTGGTATTAAAAGATTTATTTAGAGGTTTTACAGCGAGATGGTCAAGATTTTTTTATACAATTTTATAGAAATTTTAAGGGTCATATCAATTTTGTTTTATTTTCTTGCTCTTATTTTTGACAATTTATTTAGATTTTTGTGGTTTTATAGGTTTTTCATTATTTTGAACATTTTTAAACACTTGTTTACATTTTGATAATTTCGAGGGTGGTTGCGTTTTTTTGAAGCTTTCATACATTTTTAGAGATTTTTACACCAACGTCGACATTTTAAAAATAACCTTTATTATTTTTGTTTGCGATTTTAGAATTTTTTGTTGTTCTTCGCAGTTTTGTTGTGTTTTTTAAGATTTATTTAGTATTTCAGATTTTAGATAATTTTGTACATTTTTCATTATAAAAAAGTTTGATAATGTGGAATTTAGTTTTATGTGTTTTTAACATTTTAAATATATTAACTATACCTAGTTTTATAAATTCTTCATTAATTTTCAATACTTCTTTGTTTTTTTATAATTGTAACGGTAATTATTTGTTTATATATTATTTTTTTGTTATTCTTGAATTTTATACATCTTTATTATAAAAAAATTTTTAATAATTTTTAGGATTAATGAGGAATTTAGTTTTTTTTTGTGGTTTTTAACATTCTAAATAATTTTATAGATTTTCATTACTTTTAATTTTTTGTAATACTTGTTTGCTCTTTAATAAGGAAATTCATTTGGTGCATTTTTATAAAAAAAAAACCTATACCGTAAACACGGGTGACTTTGCACCCCGCGGGTGACTTTAACCCATTTATGAAAAATCTTTTCGCGCTCGATAAAATTAACATTTATAATTTGTTGGTCTAAACCTGTCAATTGAGCGATTCTATTGAGTTTATATTACAGGAAAATCAGTGTTTTAAAGAAAGAAATGGGATTTATTACACTTTAAAATTGTATATATCGCATCAGTGCAAAACTCTTATAAGAGTTTCTGTATTTCTATAGAAATACACGCGTTACAATTTCTATATTATGCGCAATCCATTGGAATGATGATCCTTGGTTAACTACAGGTCGATTTTTTATTTTTTTATCGGTAATCCCTTGCAATAGATATATGTCGCTGCTAACACGTGTCTAATAAAAATAAAATATAATATTGAATTCATTTTATACGGAAAATACACTGTGAGACAGTAAGTAACCCGCACACCCAGTTTTTAATTTTTATTTTTGAAACTCAGCCCTATGTAATATTATGACATAGTTATTATGAAAGAGCAACTCTAGACTCAAATTTTGGTATACAAAATTTAATGTTTAGGATTGTTAAAACCACAAAAATTTTAAGCTTTAGTTTGAAAGTGAGCTAAAGCCACCCGTATTTACGGTAGGTATTTTTATTTTTTATACAGGATGTTCCAAAAATGCCCTTTAAATTTTTTGATTACTTTTCATTTTGGTAATTCTGAGGGTTAATGCATTATTTTAAGCTTTTTTAGAGATTTTTATATTTTATGCAGGGTGTTCCGAAAATAATGCACCAACTTTTTTGTTGACGATTTTATATTTTTTTGTTATTCTTTACAGTTTTGTTGTTTTTAAGATTTATTTAGGTTTTTAGATTTTAAATAATTGTATACATTTTTAATTATTAAAAAAATTAAATCCTTTTTACATTTGGATAGTTTTTGGGATTAAAGAGGGATTTAGTGTTTTGTGGTTTTTAACATTTTAAACAATTTTATAGATTTTTCATTACTTTTAACTTTTTTTTTACATCATTGCTTGTATTTTAATAATAAAAATAATAAATAAATTACGTTTAAGCTTTAATACATTTTTTCGGATTTTTATATTTTATAAAATGTCCTTTACATTTTTTTGCGTTTTTGGTGTTTTTTATTTTGTCTTTTTTATTTTTTTTGTGCGTTTACTAATTTCATATTATTTTGGTTTTCATTATTTAAAAAAAAACTGTTTCTATTTTAATAATTTTGAGGATTAATAAGGGATTTAATTTCTGTTGTTTTTAAAATTGTAGAGAATTTTATAGATTATATTCATTATTTTTTAAATCATTGTTGTTTTGATATGTTTACAGATTTTTTTATTTTTTTGTGCTTTTTAAAATAAAAAATAATTTATAGATTTTTCATTATTTAAAAAAGTCCTTTGATAATTTTGAATACCTAATGCATTTTTTAGGTTGTCCCAAAAACGATGTATCCCCTATATCCCCTATAATGAAAAATACTGTTTTTCGACGTATAAAAAAATGGAAAATTGATCAGTATACAGGGAAAAACCAAAATTTTATTTTTTTTCAAGTGATCACCATATGTATAAATTTATTTTTCGATTCCTTGTAAAATTCTAAGCATAAGTTATATGATATACCATATACCTAAATTCAACCGTTTCTGAAATATTTAAATTGTTTGTAAGATAAAAGTTCAAATAGTTTGTCTTCCTGTGACTGAATACGGCATTTTTACTCACTTAACAATTAATATTGTTATAATGTCACTATAGTTATTTATTTTCAATAAACATTTTGTCATACTAGGGCTGCTTGATTCGTAAAAAATATTTGATGATAACGTTTCAAATGAAAAATATAAAATAAATAAATCATTTGAAAAAAAATAATCTTTTTGTTTTTCCCTGTATACTGATCAATTTTCTAATTTTTTTATACGAAGAAAAAAAGTATTTTTCAGTACCTACATAACCATACTTAAATTTTTTGGGGTACTTAGTTAAAGGAGGGCGACATTATAGGGGATCACCCTGTACATTTTCGTGACACTATAATCTAAATGACATTTATTATGACTCATACTGTACACAACGTAAACAGAATATTAAAATTAAAAATACCTCATTAGTTTTTATAGCGCGATTTACAAAAAAAGTACATTTTAATAATGCCTGTCAAAAACTGATAACAGTAAACAAAAAATGACACTCCGTTGGAAAAAACCCACTTTGTATCGCACAAATTGTACGCCGAAGACAAATTATGCCCTCCATTAAGTTTGCTCGCTCCTCAAATCCATAAATCTTGTCAGATCGTTTACCTTTAACCTGCTCATAACACACAAACCAACCGACCGAAGTAGGTAGCGGAGCGGCGGTGCATTTTTATAAAAATATATAAATGGGGGTGGCACAATTCGGGGTTGTTGCCTTCTTTTTATGCTTACAGTGTGGCGGATGGCCACTCGAAAAGGTCCTCAGGTGCGCACAGAGCTGGTTAAGCAGTTTTTTACACGTTTACAAGGTTACGAGGGATGCTAGAATATCAATAGGCTCAAATACCTACAACAAAAAAACAATCTAAAATGTGGAATAGTTAAAATAACTAAAAAACAAGTAGATAAAGAAATAAAATAAAATAAAATAAAATAAAATAAATAAAATAAATAAAATAAATAAAATAAATAAAATAAATAAAATAAATAAAATAAATAAAATAAATAAAATAAATAAAATAAATAAAATAAATAAAATAAATAAAATAAATAAAATAAATAAAATAAATAAAATAAATAAAATAAATAAAATAAATAAAATAAATAAAATAAATAAAATAAATAAAATAAATAAAATAAATAAAATAAATAGGGGAGAGGGGGGAGATTTGATCCCCTTTTTAGTTTTTTGAATCTAGTTTTTACCATAGAATATATTTCTGATTTATTAAGGATTCATTCCATTATAAAAACCTTAGCACAAACGCTAACTATTAATTAGTGATAAAAAATGCTTCTACAAAGTAAAAAACGTTTAATAAATATTATATTGCAAATAGGATCAAGTGTCCCTCTATCAGGGAGACTTGATCTCCCATGCCGGGAGAGTTGATCATGTTAATTTTTCTTAAAATAATGCGTTTTCATGAAGGGGGTTCATAAAAAATGGATAGATTTACAAAGTATGGAAGTATGGGGTATTTTTAATGAATTAAATTTTAACAGTTTAACAACACAAACATTGGACAAATTTTATTTTAAAGTATTTTAAAAGTTTAACCAAAACAAACATTGGGAAATTTTATGTTAAAGTTGTAGTGACCACGTCTGACATCAGGTATTGGCAAAACTTTTTTGACATTCTCTTTTAACACAAGCCCCTCGTCTCTAGTTGCGGGGAAGTAAAAATGTGCCTCTTTCTTCCGTAAGAAGTTTACCAACATCTCAGAAGGTGTTGGGTCAACTTCGGTCACTTGCCCCACAAAATAAGTTGTTCCCTTCTTTTTGCTAAACTCAACAAATACAAAGTCTTTAATTTTAGGGGTGCACACTTCAAAAAAATCATCCGTCTCCACTTCAGAGTCGTCTGAAGAAACTAAAAATGGATCGATGTCATCTAAGCTATCGTCACTGGCTTCCCACACCTGTTCATCTTCGGAACTGTCACCCTTTAACTGTTCTATCTTTCTACTTCTTTTCTCAGTTTTCTTTTTTTTGGTAAAATTCTTCTTCACACTTGAAGCTTTTTTGTCACGCTCTGCTTGTTCTGCTTCTAATTCCACTTTCTCAGGTGTATCAGTCAAAATCCTACATCGACCTCGTTTACGACCTTTCGTTTGTTTCTCGACTCTCGGTGGAGCCTTCGGAAATGGTAAAACTTCTTTTGGAGAGACTATTGTTGATATAGAATTTATAACTGGCAATTGATGACTTTGGCCAGATGGCCCGGGTTGAGGACTAGGTGATCGTACTCTAGGAAATTCTGTATCAACACAATCTGAAGTTTCTTCCATAGGGTTTGGCCTATCAGTCACCAAACTTGCACAAAACTCATCATCTCTAAAAATATTTGAATTGAATGGGTAGATTCCAGATACTCTGAAGCCACTTAGGATATTTGCTGGAGTAAAAGCTTTGGGATAAGCTTCTCCAAGAAGGCCGGGAATATCGTATATTGTTATATTTTTTCCTCCATGATTGGTCATCCAATCAGATGCA